CTGTGGTTGCCGTCACCGCTGAGCAACAAGTGACAAGGAAACTAAAGAAAAGACCGGGCAGAAATGATAATGGGAGGGTCCGGAAAAAAACCTAAAACACATTTTTAAAATTGCAGCTACAATAAATTCATATTCTTATCATGCCAACTTTCCGATGTGGTCAGTTGGCTTAGTATGATGTAAGTTTAACTAACATTAGTAAATAAAAAACAAGTAAACAAACATTTCTATACACAGTGCTTATTCTTAGGAGTGAACACACAATTATGAGTACCAATTATAGGAGTAAACAAATTGTACGTTGAAAACTATAAAGCGTGAATAGCTTAAAACTTTAAAAACTTCAAGTGTTTTGAGAGACTACTGTACATACGCTATCCGGTCACAAATGTCTCCTTCACTTCGTTAAAAACTTTTAGCCAAATGCATGTAAAGTTATGCCAGCAACATGTGGAAACATTTGTCTAGTGGCAATTATTCAAAAACTTATGTTTAGAAAACAGTCTATATTGAGGGATAAATTAATAGAATTGATATTAATAAGATAGAAATTTTAAACAAACTGAGTAAATGCTTTTGAAAAGTTTTAATTGATAACATAAAGTTAGTGATTTGTTGCTTATAAGCTTATAATCAAAGGAGTAATCTTAAAACAATGTTTTGCTAAAAGTTTTGATAATTTGCCTTTAAATTTCTGTCAAACAGAAGTCAATAAATGAAAGTTCCACCCCCTAAAAAATATGTTCAACTATTAATTTATTGGTTTTAACTCCCTCCCCACCCGCTGGTCTTAACCCACATGTTGCCCCCGAGTCGCGTGGCCTTAACCCTAACCTAGCGCAACTTTTGTCGACTGAATTCGCTTAACTCGTGTGCGGACCAAAAAAAAAACATTAAACGTGTGCGAGAAAGAGAGGGGGCTATGGAGAAGAGGGAGAGAAAAACACATGGTTCCAGGCCACGCGAAAATGCGAAATGAAATGCGTCCTTAGAAATATCTCGAATAAAACAACAACAAAGTGCAGTGTGAGTGGGCGCAGGCGGAGAGTGGCGGAGAGAGGTAACAAAAAGAAAAACAACAATTATTGAATGAGTTGCCTCTGCTGCTGCTTCTTCTTCTTCTTCCTCCGCTTCTGCAGGCGCTTTGTTTTTGTTTAATGCATGTGTTTTTTAGTTTGTGTGCGTGCGTACGTGTGTGTGGAAAATGGCAAATTTTAGCAACAAAGAAATTATATTAAGTCATGCCAGCGGCAACAACAAACAAACAAACCCGCTAACAACTACAACTACAACACTTACCATTTTGATGCTCCAATTGCTAACTGTTCTTGTTGTTGTTGCTGTTGTCCGTCACTTCTGTCTGTTGTTGTTAACCACAAAAAATAAGCAACAGACCGCGCACACACGCGTTTTTTCCCCTTTTGTTTGTTTTTTCGGGTGTTTTTTTTTGTTTTACACTGTTTTTGGAGCTGTCAGCGGAAACAGTCAGCAAATGCAGCGAAAAAAAAGATAATACTCCGCACGTAGTGTTTGCAACGCGCTGGAGACGTTGTTGTTGTTGGAGCTGCGGGTGCACGCGGTGTTTGGCTTTGATGTTTCTAATACTTAGATTTTAGCTATACGGATGCGATGTTGTTTTGTTGCACTGCACTTGCTTGCTAAATGCAACAACATTCGGAATCGGAATCAAGGAGGAAGGAAACGAGAACGAGAAGGAAGCGAGAAAGCCGAAAACACACGTAACATGCCAACTATCGAGCTTCGAGATGCCAACTAGTGGTGGAGAAACATCGATACTAACGTCGGTGTCATCGATGTTTTCGAGACGTCGGCAATATCGATGGCTGCAAGCAACGACTACTCTTACTTTGAAAAATGGTCACACTGAAAAATATCTTTATTTGTTATTATTTATTCTAGTTCTCGCGCACTGTTAGCCCAAGTCAAAATGGATATTGATCAAAGCACAGCAAGAAGTGTGTTTTGTAATCTAAATGCCGAAATAAATATAAAGTGTATATATATATATATAAACAAATATGTTTTATTTATTATTGATGTTTTCCGCCAAAACATCAATGTTTCTCCAAAATCCAATAGTAATAAGAAGGTTTGAAGGAAAAACATCGTGTTACCGATGGTTTCTATACTATTTCACTATTGGTGCCCTCTCAACAGAGTTGCTGAAATTAACGTGTTTACTTTACCGAATTTCTTTCCTTTAATTAAACGCTAAATTATTATTATATTATTGTTTGCCTATATTATTGTAAATAAATTTAACTGGTATTTAATGGTAACGGTATATTTGGCGAATTTTTGTTAGCATTAATTCATTATTGTCAAATTTTAAGTATTTCCTATATTGTTGAACTGATTATTTTTTATAAAGTCTACGAACAATTTCAAAAACATATATTACTTTGAAATTTTAACACCGAATGCGCATTGTAATATAAAATATTGCAAGATATCTTTAAACATTAAATAAACAACCAACTATTAAAAATCCATAGCGATTTTAAATATTCACACTGTATTAACCTAAATCACTGAGTATTAGAAAAATAAGTTGTTCAGTTACGCCAATAAATTTTTTGTTTACCAAATAATTAATAAACTGCACTGCCAGATCGACGATATCCGCGGTCCGGCTTCTGCTCATGCGATAGTATCGATTACAAATCGATTTTCTTCCAGCTCTAGCAGCACATGTGTGTTGTTGCTTGGCATCAAAATTTGTCGGTAAGTCTGCTTTTCCCGCTCCCAATTTCGCCATCCGCCGACACAAGTCAACTTTCCCACGATTTCAGAGCGTCTGAAGAAGGCAAGGAACAGCAGTAACGACTCAGGAAAGGATCAGGCGATCAGGCATCTAGAAGTTTGCACGGACACGGCACGCAAAACGCGGAAACTACAAAAGCAAACATGCCGAACGACACGGTGGTGAAGGTGCAGGAGTACAAGGATACGTTGATCCTCAAGGCGGAGCTACTGATCACCAAGCGCTTCCCGGAGAAGATCGTTCAGCTCAACGAACTCCTGGCCACGCCGATGTTTAATGAGCGCAATTTCGAGGAGGTGCACCAGGACCTCAACATACCGGCCCTGCCGCCCGTGTTGGTTAAGAACCACGAGGACAATAAGTCCGAGGACGGCGATCATCCGCCCACCAAGCGGCAGCGCAAGGATGTGATCGTCTCGGGGCAACCGGTCCTGGCACTGCCCGCCGGAACGGTGCCGTGCAACAAGCCGCTCTGCGAGATGATCAAGGTGGTCAAGCCCATAATCAGGAAGCTAGTGGAGGATTGTAAGTACTCTGGGGGCTTTGAGATCGTACTCATCCCTGCCCTACTAACCCTGAGTTATAAATGCTCTTAGCTAACTCCTAGAACCTTCTGTAATATATATCCCTTCAAAAATAACCCTTAATCACCAAAAACATACTGTAGTCAAAATTTTTAAGACAAGACTCGCTTCTTAACACCGCCTATTGTCTCAAAATAACCAAGAAACTTGATTTCCTAAAAACCAAACTAATAAAGCCCTGCAATTCCACAGAACCAAAAGCCCCAACAAATTTCTTGAATTTTCTTTACCGCAGCTAATCTGCTGAAGATGTGGATCTCATTCATGATACCGAAGATCGAGGATGGAAACAACTTTGGCGTCTCCATCCAGGAGGACACACTGGCCGAGATTCAGACGGTGGAATCGGAAGCGGCCGCCTTCTTTGACCAGATATCGCGCTACTTCCTTTCACGCGCCAAAGTGGTGTCCAAGGTGGCCAAATATCCGCACATTGATGACTATCGCCGCGCCGTCGTCGAGCTGGACGAGAAGGAGTACCTCAGCCTGTGGCTGGTCGTCTGCGAGGTGCGCAACCGCTACTCCTCGTTGCACGATATAGTGATTAAGAACCTGGAGAAGCTGAAGAAGCCGCGTTCCTCCAACACCGAGAGCCTCTACTAGGGGTTCCCTCCAGTCCCAGCCCAAGAAGACCTTTTCTTTTTTTTTCCATCATCCTATTTACTGTTCAAGAAACAAACAAACAACAATAAACAGCCCGTAGAACGGACGGTCAGCGGTTCTCGTGGCTACTCGAAAAGCTCAGCCCCCTCCATTTCGATTGACAACAAAAAAAAGCACCAAATCATCAGCCAAGTGAAAAGAAGAGGTACGAGAACCATTAAGCAATAGCTGTAGCCTAACTAGCCACTGTATTGATCCATTTGTACTCTAGACGAACTAGAGTTTAGCGTAGAATACAAGAAACCGATGCTGTATAGATTCCACTAATAGCTATAGCTATGCATATGAATAAATAAATCGAACGTTGCCTCGTCGTTGTCGGCCGAGGGCAAAAAAAATCATTTAAAATTAATGAGAAGAAACAAATGCGGTTTAAAACTCAAAACTCGGCGCGATTGAGCAACTGAAAGTTTGTAATAAAAGAAAACCTTGTGACCTTTTGGCAGAGTATTTAAATATTTCTTATTCTTTATTCACTTAAAGGGGATCTTCGATTTAATTTCACAAGTATCTGATGGCGTCATCATATTCGGCATTTGAACTCGCGCCACAAAAATATATCAGCATGGTCATTTTTTGCGCTGCCAAATGTTTTTAAGGTCGCGCAGCAGCTGGCTTTTGGGAGGAATTTGGACACGCAAAAGGTGATTGCTACAGCTTGCATTAAACAAAACTGCTTGCTAAACGACTTTAGTATTTTTATAAGTTTCCGGGCTATTCGAAACTCTGTTTAGCTTACCAACTAATTTAACAATCCTACCCACTCTTCGATTAACATTTAAAAATTTTTTTTTTTTAAATCACGTTTTTGCGACATCGACCAAACATTAATACATCCTGACTTGAATCCTATTTTTTTTAGAGTGTATTTTTTGAGACAGCACAACACTTAAGCTAAGTGCTTTAAAACTGCAGTGCAAACATGTTCGCTTCGAACTCCCGCCAAATAATAAATTCAAAACACAAACTTTCTTAAAAAAAAGGAATCGTATATTAAATAATGAAACATAATTACTATTTACATCTAGTACTATCGAATTTTTATTTACAACTAATTTAACTATGTCTCGACACCACACATACATACATACAAAAACTAAAATTTGTGGTGTGTTCCATAATTTAAAAAAAAAAACTCTCATCTTAACTTAGACCGAAAAAGTGGAAAACTAAACAAAACAAAGATAAGCTCTGCCGGTGTGTGTGCTAAATTCTGTCGCTCGTGAATTTTTTAATAGCTATGCATTAAGTTTGTGCTAATACTTTCGTTTTTTATTAGACGTGTCCAGTGAATTGGAATTAAGGTTCGATTACGAGGCACTTTTGATTTGTTGTTATATAGGCAGTGTTTTTTTTTTGTATGCTATATTCGCTCTCTTTAGCTTAGCCTAACTTAGGCTAAAATCTAAATACGACAATGAACATTTTTACACACATTATCAATGTTTGGGTGCTTAGCTAATCCTTAGACTAAAGCTCAGTACTGACATCAGCTAAATATATCGGTAGTTTATTTTACATAACTCTTGAATGATAACGATACAATTTACCAATAAACATTATAAAAGCACCATTGAGTAGTATTTAGGGGTAAACCTTACTTCAAAGCAACAGTAATCGATTTTGAAAGCTTATATAATATTATTCTGTGTTGAAAAAAAACACCATATTGCTACTTTGTTTTCGAATATTTCAATATATTAACCGATATCCTTGGCTGATGTCAGTGACTGGACTTTCCGGCCACCAATTCCATCTGGTCGCATCCACTGAACTGAACTTAGCCTGTTGCATTAAGTAAACGAAATGGCACATTGAACCACAACCCACATGACCTCCCTGGTGACTCCGATTCGATCCGATCCGATCCGATCCGATCACATGTGGTGACCCCACCAGGCGGCGCTGGCCTGGTAGTATCCATCGTGTCCCCAGCCGAGGATGCTGAGCGGCGGTGGCGGCGGCGTTAGCGAAAGTACGTCCACATCACTGTCTTTGTTGTTGTTAATATGATGGTGGCTATTATTGTTGTTCGCAGTTTTTCGCCAGCCATGACGTGGCTGTGACGGAACCGGAACCGGAAGTCGCAGTGCTAGACGACGTCGACGCCTCCGACGGCGCACCAGATCCCAGCCGACGGTACCCTCTTGTTAGAAAACGTGATGCGAATTCTTCGCTGGCGCCAGGAAGGGCTTCTCCTCGTTCATCTTCTCCAGATTGCCGCTGAGCGTGGGATCGGTGGGTCGGATGCGCTTGAAGAAGCCGCACTTCCACAGCAAGTAGGTGAATAGCGCCAGCAGTAGCAGTCCGCCCACAATACCCAGGATGATGATCAGCCAGGGTATCGATGTGTCGCGCTGCTGGTTCCTCAGTTCCGGATAGGCCCGCGTCTCCACCTAAAAAATGCAAAAATCAATTTAAGTAAAAATTGTTTTTGTTTATTAAAAAAATTCCGTTTCAGGATTTTTTTTTTATCGAAAAAGGAAAAGCGAAAAAACCAACTTCAGGATAAAAGCCTCACCTCTATGTTGTTCTGCTCCATCACCTCGACTCCATAGCTATCGGGAATTTGGGCCGTCGCCGTCGAAAAGATCCTGACCCGTTCGACCCTGGGATACTCGCTGACCAGCGTGGAGTTCCACAGGCGGGCCTTGACCACCACTTGGGCCTCGGATGAGGCGGGCATATTGAAGATTTCGCACTCGATGCGAACGCAGTTCGTCGAGCCCTTGTTGCAGTCCAGCTCCACAATGTCCTGCTTCTTGCCATTCGCTCCCTGTGCATTGCCGCTCTCCGGATCGTACATCAATCGCTCCAGCCGGGTGACTCGTTCCAGGAAGCTGCGACGCACCCGGTTCTGGATGGGATGCGAGTTGGCCCGGTTGCCATCTGTCATGTCCTCCCGATCGCTGCTGGAGTAGTAGGTCCTCTGCGAGTGGATGGCACTCTTGTTGTACGAATGACGCGACTGGGAGGGGAACATTCTCATTTGGGCCGGGGCCCTCAAGTAGCCCGTGTTGTCCCTCGAGCCACTGGCCAATTTCAGGGGGTTGACAAACTCGGGCGCCACATGGCACTCACCCTGACTGGCCTCCACCGTGGGTATTTGCTCCAGATAGAGTAGGTACTGGACATTTCGACCGCTCTGGGGATCACTGTACAGTGACCAGGGCCAGTAGATGACCATCTGGACTTTGGGCGCCGTCGAGGGTCCCTCGTTGAAGATGGTGAAACTGTGATGCACCTGCGATCCCACATCGTCCATTCCCATCGGTCCGTGTAGCTCGGCATCCGAGATGCCAGTGGTGGTGCTGGTGGTGGCCACACCCGTCGTCGCACTCGATCCACTGTAGAAACTCTGCTCCGGAATGGCCCAGCCGCGGAAGTGAAGCTTCGCCCGACGCACCACATTCACCAGAAGATCACGTTCGGGACGCTCGCGACCCACCAGCTTGGAGGTGGTATTGGCAAAGATGTGGAACAGCATGGACTTCTCACTCGGCTCCAATCCTTTAGGCTGGAACCGAATGGTCACAAACGTGGTGGTGTCACGCAGCATGGGATTACCCAGACTGCAGGCCACCAAGGTAGTGTTATAGCTGTTGCATGTGGCATTCGTCTATTTTGAGGAGCGGGTTGTAAGATGAAAAAGTTAAAGACGGAACAGAGCTCGTTTCTGACAAAGACTTACCGGCTTCTTGGTGGCCACATAGGAGACTCCCGCTTGATGGGCGATGAACAGTTGAGCTTCGTAAGCGGAATCCGCCAGATTGCTGACATAGATGCGAACCTCCAGTTCCGTTTCATCCAGGATCAAGGTATAATCTTTGCCTAAGAAGAATTAAAAATTTAATTTTTCTAAAAGTCTTTCTGGTTTGATAATCTGGTATTAGAGTTCAAAGGAACTTTCTTTCTTTTTTTTTTGGTAAAGAAAGGGGGCTTAAAAAAACGTTTGTTTTATTAATATTAAAAAAGAGAAAGAGCAAGGGTTATAACTTAAAAATTTGATAGCTAGGCCTTAATGTTCTAAAGGCAACATTATTTGGTGTTCGTTTTTTTTTTGGTAAGAAAGAGGGTTTACTCTTAATTTATTTTTATTAAAACTAATTTGATACTCTTTTAGTCCTAGAGGCAACATTGCTGAATGTTTCAATTATTGTTTTTTTTTAAACAGTACACAGAGAAAAGCCAACCCAACTCACCTGAGGACTGTGTGATGTTCGGCTCCGCCCGGATGACCAGATTGCTCTCGCAGAGATCGTCATCGCCGCAGTCCTTCTGGAAGGTGCCCTCGAAGTCGATGTGCGCCTGGGTCTGGTCCAGTATCGGATTGAGTCGCACCAGAGCGGACTTGGCCAGTGGCGGCTCCTCCAGCGAGTACTTTAATCGAAAACGCACCGGAGTCTGGATGTCCCGGGTATTGGCCTTGATGTAACCCGTGACCGACTGGCAGGCCATCCGGCCATTGGTTTGCACCCTCACCACCCGACTGAGCACATTGCTCCGCTTGTTGTCCCGATCGAAGAAGACCCGCGAGAACTTCTTCAGGTGATCGAAGGTCTCCGCCTCGACGTTGTAGGCCAGCCGGAGCTCCTTGCTCTTCTCGTCGTACGGATCGATGCTGCAGCAGGCCTCGAAGGTGAAGCAGGTCAGATTGCTGGCCGGATCGGCGGCACAGCCCGGCTGATTGGGGTCCATGTTGCGCAGCTCGTCGCGCTGCACCTTCGTCTGGATGCTGATGATGGGCCTGGCCAGCAGGATGACCGCGGCCGAGGAGTTGAACGCCCCGATAACCACATCCGGATAGGAGTTGTCGTCCAGATCCGTGTTGCCCGATATCGATATGCCGAAGGTGCGGATGGCCGGTTGGCCAGTGGGCGTGATGCCCCCCAGCTCCGAGGCCATTATCTTCTGCGCCGGCTTGGCATTCAGTCCCTGCTCCGATCCCAAGTAGATGTAGACCACGCCGTTGCCCTCGTACGGAGCTCCCACCGCCAGATCCTCGCAGTTGTCCTTGTTCAGATCCCCGATATTCGCGAGGGCCAGGCCGAAACGACTCTCTAGCGTCCCCGTCAGCTTCAGTGTATACTTCCGGGGCAAAGTGTCCTTGTCATTCTGATAAACGTACACAGCTCCACCCTCCGTTTTGGTGAAGTAAAGCGGAGCGGCCACTATCAAGTCCGGTCGATGGTCGCCGTTCACATCGGCGGTGGCCAGTTCGTAGCCAAAACTCGATCCGAACTGCTCGCCGTCCAGGATCGAGTGCACCGGAATCGGATTGTCGGTGGACTTGTCGAAGATCACCACCTGACCGTGGCCCTGCGAACGTGGAGCTCCGGCCGCATACGACATTTGTCCGAAGAATCGGCCCCCCGTAACGGACATGCCCAGGTAGCTGTACTTGTCCACCGGCGAGCTGTTGTCCGAGTGATCACTGTAGTAGGTCGTCTTGTCGCGCTGCAGGTACTCCCCACCAACCTGGGTCACCCAGATGGACCCGCGCCAAGTGTAGGGTCCGGGGGAGCCCAACACCATGGTATCATCGTCCAGGAGAGCAGCGGATGTTCCCGCCTGGCACAGTCCGTAGTCCTCGTGTTGTCTGTGGATTAAAAATAGGAAGGTAAAGATGTTAAGATATAGGTTTTTTTGTATTAATATATTTGTTACGATTATTCTTTACTCCGAACACTGTTCCACATAAAGTTTCCTCTACCCAAACCATTATCTTTCTCGTAGTCTTTTATAACATAAAGTTTGTCGATGAGTACATTTTGTTAGCTATTAACGACTTTGTGCTGAAATGAATATAACTTTGGTAATAGTAAGCCTCTAAAAGAATCCATCCCTTTTCTCTCAACTTTGGTCAAATATTTGGTAACACTTACAAATATCTGCATTTCATTCACTTTAGTTTTAATTGTATGCAATGTAATTGCAGATAAAAACAACTGCCGTTACCACATCAGATCCGGTTAATTTCTGATTTATGATAGTATAAGCCAAAGAGTCAAGGACTTGATGTCTTGGTCATCTTCATTTACCCCGCATGGATTATTCTGTTCCAGGACCTGGACATTAATAGATGACCATGGTCAACAAAAGGACTCTTTGGGCACCCGTATCTTTATTTCCCCGCCATTTATCTATTCCCGAATGGAGTTGTGCGTTGGACATTAATGGATGACCAGGGTCAACATTTCCACCTATTTGTGACCTCTTTTGTTTTTTTTTTTGTACCCCCTGCCTATTTCAAAATCGAGTTTGGACACGCGAGTTTTAGCTCGATGAAAAATTGCATATTCAGAATGATGACAGGAGCCACCTCTGACCCCCCTCGTTACCGAACGCTCCCTGATTTCGGTCATCAGGTGGGTGCGGAATCCCTCCTGTCATTTAAATAAATTAAATTTCACCTTTATGAGTGTGCGTTTTTGGCCTGCAACGACGTCATCGGTGTCACACTTGAAGTGACCCTGCCCCAACTCGCAACTCGCCACACACGCTGAATGCTAATTGGGCGAAACACCCCCGCATTATTCATCGCCGAAGATAATTCACCTTGACACTTTTCTTCCCCTTTCGCTTCCCTGCCAGGAATAAAAAACAAACAAACAACTGACCCATGTCACCTGCAAAGAGAAGGGGATGTGGTGTGGGTTGTTATGATTACCTCAACCCACAAAAAATACCTGATCAATGTAGATAGCGATATCAATGACCTGAGACAACCGGCAAGAAATCCACCGTACAAGAACAAAAGATAATAAAATATTATAAAATAAAACCTACATGTACATCATTTTGTAAGATTTTTTAGATATTACCTATTACAGCAACGTTTAGATATATAGAATGTATATAGAATATTTCATGTCGAAATAAAAACAACTATCCCTAATTGACATTCCTCAGTAATGACCAAGAACAAAAATATTCACTATTCTCCCGGTTCCTAAACTGATGGCATTTCCAAAAATTATTTAAGAGCCTCTTCGTCAATAATTTATAATCCTCGAATAGTGCTATGGATTTTACAAAACGACTTTTTAAGTTCTTCAGTGAAAATTAAATTTCCTCCCTGGTAACTCTATCCAAATATCTCTGAAGGATTGAAAAATTATTTATGATATACTTTTGATAAATATTAATATTAAATAACTCAGAGTACTCACCTTTGCACTGGACGTCCTTTGCAGGGTTCGTGGACCTCCTCGAATTGCAGATCGTTTGTAAGTAGATAGCAGAGACCCTGGCCATAACGATTCTCCCTAACGATGTACATATAGCGATGGGCGCAGACGATCACCTAAGATTATAATATATTATTGCATTATAGAGCGTTATAAGTCAAAATTATTTTATAACATAAATATTTTGGCTTTATATTTGTTTAATATTTAATAATAATAATAATGATTAATATGCTCTCACTCACCTTTCCGCCGGATCCGTTGGCTTGCAGGGGATTCGATCGCACCGTAACGCCCATCCATTGATCCTCCTTGATTTCGTCGTTGCCGGGCGGTGAAAGAATTTCGCTATCAAAAGCTGAGCGAAGAACGAAGAACGGAGAATACGAAGAGCGAAGAATGTGAAGATCGCGGGAGAAAGAGAGAAAGTGCAGAGTGTTAACAATTGCCAAAAAAGAGATGCAACGTGTGATAGTGTGTGTGTGTGATTGTGTCTTTCTGTGCGTGTGTGTACAAATGTGTTTGTGTGCATGTCAGCAACAACAACAATAATAATAATATAACATCAACAACAACAACAACAATAACGGTAACGGTAATAATAATTAATAACTTTAAAAAACTAAGAGTAGTATGCATTATCAACAATATATATATATAGTATATGGTAAAAACAATAATAATCATTCACAAATTTACATACGTACATATGTACAGCAGGGTGGACCTTTTATTTCAATCTATGAGGTGTATCTTTGGTTGTAAATATATACTCTATTGTCAAATAGATTATTTCCAAAAATTTGTAATGATATAACTTTTCAGTTTTTTTTTAAATTTATACTCAATCCAATAAATAAATAAATTTGGACTTCGTTAAATTGGGTATTTTACAACAATTTAAAATGTTTTATTGAGAATTTGGTTATAATTGAACAATATAATAAAACATGGAGTATTTTTTTTGATAAATGCGTTATCTGTTTTGATATGATGATCACTAAATACTTTTAAAAGTAAATTAAATTAAAAGTTAATGCCATTTTTAAAGTATTCGGGTCCACCCCAATGTTCAACTCGAACTGGAAATCGAAATTGAAACAAAATCAGTAAAATGCAAATTCCAACCGACTTCGAACTCCGAACAATTCAATTATTTACAGCTGATTTTTGGGCAACAGCAACAAGTTTTTTTGATTGCTTTTTTTTAATGTTGGCGGTAAGTTGTAAAAAGAGAAAAAATCAGGGAGAGGAGGAGCGGGGAGAGGGAAACAAAAAATTGTTAATTAAACGAAGCATGAAACGAAGCAAAAGAGCGGAAAAACAAAAATGGAAAGCGCAGCCGCGAAAGAGAGAGAGCCGAACGAAATTGATTTAGAATGCATTTTAAGGCATCAAAGTGTTGAAATGTGATAAATGATTATTACACTTGCTGGAGCGAACGGGAGGGGAGATTGTGAGACAGAGAGAGTGAGAGAGAGTCGAGTTGCACAGAGCAAATATTTCAAAATTTGATAATCAAGCGAAAAACTTCCCAATTTAATTCTCCACTCTGTTACAATTTTTTTTGAAACTGAATTGAGCTTTTTCTTAGATCCTTAAAAAATATTAATAATTTGGTTCATATAAATTTCTATCATTTAAGAAAATGTTTTTATTTTTGTATATTTGATATATATATGATGTTTGGAAAACATAGAGTATTTCAAATTATTTATAAACTTTAGTAATATCAACTTAATATGCAATTTCTTTCGCTGTACAGTTTTCTTTACGGTTTTCGTGGGGCGTGGGCAGTTCTCGACGGGTTTGACGCGTTATAAAACGCTTACTGCTGTCGCGCCTGCGCAGTGAAAGTCGCGCAGATGGAAGAGCCGCCCACTGCCACTCCCCCTTTTCAGATTTCTTCATCGCAATTTTCCCATATTTCTGCGTTTTTGGACATTGGTTCGAGTGAAAAAGAATTCAGATCTCTGAAGGTAATGGCAAAAATATAAGGGTACTGGGTAATGTGCGGTAATGCAAAGAAAACCTCAACCAAAACCCCCTGTTTTCCCCTTTCCCCCAATTTCACCCCGAACCCCCCCCTCCCAAAAAAAAAATGCCAAGCCATTTTCGCTCAAGAATTCGCATATGCGCTGTATTTTTTACAGTTTGCAGTTATTTTTATGCCTCTGCCAACATTTGTTTCGCCTTTCATTCGTGCACTGCGAAAAAACAGTACAAATTTCGTTTGTTTATAAGCTGTTCGTTTGTTTATAAGCTATAACTATTCTATACTAATCTTTAGTAATTTTATTTTTTGGGACTATTATTTAAAAAATGAATTAAAAATATTTGTTAAAAATGTAGTTTATATTGAGATTAGTATGGAAAACAAAGGTGACAAAATTATGAAACATATTAATATGAATAGCCCGTTAAAAAAATGTATAAGATTCAAGATTTTACATTTTCTGATGCAAAAAAAATCGAATTCGTTCTTTGTGTAGTCATTTGTTCTGGATTTCGTTTTAGTTTTTTTATTGTGCTCATAGTTTGAGAAATTTGTCACGTTCTTGGGCGGCGCCGTTGGCAAAAACCCACATCTTCGTCTTTTGTAGGTTTTGTAATTTTTTTTAGCTTCTTGCAACTGCCACGCTCTGATTGTCAAAAGAGCAAAGAAGAAGAACTGGGGGAAGAACAAGAAGCGGCAGTAGAAACCCGGTCACAGTGGCGTTCAAAAATATGCAGACGACCCAGTTGCAAGTTACCACTCGGGGTGACGAAGGGGGTTTTAAACACCCAGCAGGGCAAAAGAACAAATGGATTTGCATATGGAGTCGAAAGAGGAGAAAAACCGAAGCCCGAATACCCATACTTAAAGTTATATAACATAAACATTTAAATTTTGTTATTTAATACCTATTTGAAGGTGATACATTTTGCACAATATAACACAATATATAACATCAGCTGCAATAAATTCTCTTCAAAAACTATGAAGTGCTAAAACTTGAAATATTCTAAGTAAATAATCAAGAGAAATCTGCGGAAATTAACTTAATCAGCTTTGAAATCACCTCGTCCTCCTATTAATTCTATAACTTGTGGGTAGTTTTGCGTAAACTTTATTTGCATTAAATGTAACAACAAATATATTATTGATTATGTCACTGCATTGCTAATTTCTGGAAAAACTCTTGACACCCTCTACAAGGCTGTAAAGTGATGGCAATAGCAGCTGCCAGGGCTATATAATTAGTGCTAAATGAGTCGCCAATTGAAGCCGCCGAAAATGTGAAGCCACATTTGTGGGGCTTTAGGATTTTTCGAGTGGCCCCCATCGCCATGCCATTCCGATCCCCTTGGTTTTGAATGGAAATTCCGGGAATCAGTTGGGGCATGCTAAAGGAAATGGTTAACATGTGACGTCGATAATGAAGTTGTTGCTGCAATTGAAGCGTGCAAAGGCCCTCAACAAAAGTTCAGAAATACTATCGCATATTTGTTTAAAAATATTTTAAGTTCAGCTGGCTTGCTTGTCGATTATATTTATATTTATTTAAAAATAGGGATTAGGAAACTGATGTGAAGAATTTAGTTTGGGAATACCAAAAGATTCTTAATTTCCCAAATATTTCATAATGTTGGTCTACTTGCTTATCGATCGAATAATAAAATATATAGCATCTATTTACTTATCACTTTCCATTTATCAACTGATAAGCCTAATAGTGATTATTTGTGTTTATATTCAGAGAGGGCATAGCAGTAGTTTATAAAACCCTTTTACGTTTAAAATTTGAAGGTCGATATAAGTATATCTGGGAATATCAGACCATTGTGTGCCGTTTGGGTTATTGCAATAAACATTAAATGATAACTTAATAGTATAGTCAAGCATTCGAACATTCAAATGTGTATTTGTACAGCTAGATGTGTAATTTAATATCTTATGTTGTATCTAATTGCAATTAGTGCGTGCATGCGTGGCAGATCGGTAAAAGTAACGATATAAGTGAGAGTACGAGTGAGAGGGAGAGAGATAATCATGATGGCGGCCATAGGCATGCGTGCGTGACTGTACATTTGCAATCGGTGATCGGAGATATTCATAGATTTGCAGAAGATATATGTACAAGCAATTTATTTACTTTTTGGTAAAAAAAAACAGGGAGAGATGGGTGCACTGAATCGAAAGTATGATTAATGCAGGGGTTAATTCAACGAAAAATCAAACCTTAAGTGAACGAATCAAAGCGCAAACCAAAGGTATGGATAACTGAATACGGCATACTGGTTAATATATATAGTTCGATCGAATATTGAATGAATGTTAGCGGTTGCGATGAGATGCGCGATCCTTGGTGGGGAATCGGGTAATTGGGATCGGTTTTTGGTGGGCATGACAACAATTAAAGCACCCAAAACCACTTACTCTTATTAATCTCATATGCTCCGTTCGCTAAGGGATTCGTTCGTTCGATTTATCGAATGGCAAGTATCGAAAAGATTTGTCAGTATTTTTTGGACAGTTGGAGTTGGACGGGTTAGGATTTCAGGTTGAGGTTGAGGTTGAGGCAGAAACACAAATGAATTTCCCAGTTATGCGCACCGAATACGGAATTCAATTTTGGCGGAACCAAAACAGGTAAGGGGGAAGAGAACGAAAAATAAAAACATAAGAAAGAAAAAAGAGAAAGAAAGGACAAAATAATTAAAAATTAAATTTAATGTAGTTTTCGATATCGGTATTTGTGTTTTTTATATATTGACTAAGATGCTAGGACAAATAATTGGATATCTATACAGTAGGTACTAGAGGATAATACGAGTATAAATATAATAAGTGCTCATCAAGTGAACGAACGATTCAAGAACTGATCGCTTGCTAAGTTAATCGTACGATTCAACAAGTGATCGATAAAACGATTAAACAATAAATAGATGGCAAAACCCATTTAATAAATGGGGAATCAGTCACACTCATAATGTTTGCAGCCTGATTGATATAGGAAAAAATCTTAATTCCAATAATTTATTGATTTAATCGCTTGCAATATCGTTTAGATATCGATCACAGCATTCTCTCCTACTTAAAATTAAGAATAAAATAGTTTTTTTTTGTTTAAATGTTAGACATGTTTAGTCACAAATCTCTGTACAGCATTTTTCAATCGTTTATGTACAATTCGCAGACTTGATCAGAATCCAAAAACAAGATATTGGGGTAAACTGAAAATGCGAATCGGTTAGCGGGAATGAAGATTGGCTCGGCCCGGTTGATCCTTGAACCTTGGCACTCCGGTTAGTCACTTGGCAGTTGGGAGCGGGATTCAGGATTAGCGGGGTTACCACGAGACCGGACAATCTACGACTATAACTATAGATCGATATTTGTATGTATGTGTTACTGAGACTGGCACTAACCAATCAACCTTCACCAATGATAGCAGGCTCAGAGTAGGAAATATAAAAGGGTACAGGTACCGAAGCTGGGTTAGGAGTTATCGACTAACTTGAGATTATATACGTACGCGTTTTCTTTTTTTTTACTCAATTTAAAAATAAGAACCTAAGAACTTAAGTAGTGAATATATATAGACTGCAGATCCTAGTTATTTTCTATACATCACAGATATGATTCACTTACATCGTCTGCCATCGGTGATCACTTGTTCGCAGTCATCGAAACTCTGGGTCATCGGACACCGCCAAAGGGCGCCAGAATGTGAAGTGTTCGGCTGTCGATTTTGATCCAGTGGGGCTCCCACTAAGACACTGAAAAAAAAGGAAAATCGCAAAATTATAGTTAAAAGCAATATTATGTAAGCCTTAAATTGTATAAGATATAAAATGTGTTTGCAAAGTCATATATGATATTATATAATATATTTTAGTAGTTATTAAAGTTGTGCGATAACTGAAATAGTGATTTTTTTAATCAGATACACGCTTATAAATTATAGGAAGTTATTCTTTTTTTTCAAGCTGCCTAATCGTTCAACCAATATTTATTCAAGCTTCTTTCAATGCCAGACCTTTGTGGACTTTTACACTTGAATGATATTTTTGATTATAAGTATCTCAGATATTACGCTTGAGCAATATTTTGTAGACTTTGACACTAGCATGATATTTTCGATTTCCGCTTTTGTTGGAAGTTACAGAGTTTCCAAAAACCCTATTATTTTTTCTGTGCATATATTTAACTTAACATGTTGGTCACCCGAGCCGACCACAAATAACTGGCAAGACAAGCGATCTGCGGTCAGTTGCGCCTCGGATCGGTTGGCTTATATAGTATATAGTGGTAGTCATGGCTATCTGCTAATTGCGGGTCGCCACTTTGGCTTCGGCTGGTAATCGATTTGTAGGTGGGTTCAACTTCAACTCAGACACAACTGAGCGACAATTGCGACTTGGTTCAATGCACTTCGCTTGGCTCTTTGCATTTTATTCGGGGCTTGGCTCTGCCGAAAAGTAATTACTCCAGGCGATAAAAGTGCTCAGATTGGTGAGGGGTCTGGGTGCGTCTGCACGAAAGATCCGCTAATGAGCAGTCAAATTACCAAGGAGCAGCGAGAAGCCAGCAGGATATGTCGAAATACGGTCGCGAAACAGGGAATGTAATTTAAAGTTTGAAGGGCATTTAAAGTGCACGCTGAGAATATTATTTAAGGTAAAATAATATGTCCCAAAGCATCTGCATTTTTAAAATGGATAAAATTATAGCCAAAACATTATCAGTAAAATCAGATTTCTAAAAAATATTAAACTTAAGTAGATGAATTGCAAGATGCTAACATTTTAATGAAGGAAACATAAAAAAAGTTGAAATAAATATATATACGAAAACCAAAAGGTATTTAACCCATATCAATAAATAGAGGAGAACAACTTATGCAATTATAAATCAAAAAGAGTCAAAACTTTTATTATTTCACATAAAATATATCGAACCTAAGGTAAGCAAATATATGCAAGATGTGCTTGAGAAATGCCACGTTAAGTCTAATTGCCGATGCATGATATCCAAGAGAAGAAAGACATTTCTCCAGCGCGAAACGTCGCCAAAAGGCAGTGGAAACATGGCCAAGAAACACGCTAAATGGCAACAAAGTAGGGCCCGCAAAAAAGGGGCGGCTAAATTGGAAAAAAAATACAAAAAACAATAAAAAGAAAAAAAACACCCACGTTCGCTCACTTAACGTGTTTAACATGAATGTTCATTATCCTGCAGCCGTAAGCTCAGCCATAACCCACAGCAACAACCGCAACATCAGCAACAACAGCAACATGCAACAACTGCTGCAGCAACAACGGCAACTTCTGCGACAACAACAACTGAAATTGCATGTACGACAACTACAAAACACGAAGGCGAGGAGTGGGTTTATGGCGGCCATTAAGTGGCACCTACACACGCCACACACACAACACACACACCGCACACCACCAAAGCCTCATACACAGCGAAAAAGGATTGATATGATAAGGATGCATTTTTATGTATCTCACAATTAAAAAAACATTTCTTAAACAATTCAAAATTTCAATAAAATAATAATTTTATCATTGTTGTTTTGTAAAACTGATGAAAGATACAAATTGATTGCAAAGCGTTGGGCCTCGAATACCTGAACTATTGTTGCTAGTGTCATTTAAAAATGATTTTCACTTCTGACAAATATTTTAAATTACAAATTAAATATTTAAAAATATTATACCAGTGATAAGTGTGGTTTTTTTTATTTGCCCCATTAAGTTTATTGTATAAACCTCACAAAAAAAAAAAAAAAATTTATTTTTAATTGAAATTGAATTAATATCGATTTGTTTTGTCCTGTGCATCAAACCTAAGCAATCAACCGTCACAGCAGCAGCATCAACAGAAAACCGAAGAAAAATCGAAAATAAAAGAAATCTTTAAGTGCCCAAAGGCAAAACTGGTGGCCAAATTGCCGATGAGGGTGTGGGTGAGGGGCTTTGGGGGGAGGGGGGCGGAACTGGGTGCGGGTGGTGTAGGTGGTGCAAAAAAAAAAAAACAAAACAAAAAAAGGAGAAGGAGAAGGAACCGTTGCTCATGGGCTTACTCCAAGTTATCGGTTTTGTCGCCTCACAATTGACACATTTACCGGTTTGGCGGTCTTTAAACCACAAAAATCCAGAGATACTCACGAGTTATTAGTGGGATACAAAGTCATATTAAAACAGATTAAAATGATGAATAACATTTTCTTTAAGACACAAAACCCAATTTATTAAAAATGTTTTTAAATGTAAAAAAATCTTTAAGACAAAAACTTAAACATTAGTTCAAATAAGTTATGCGTTCAATTAAATATTTTATCGAATAGATAGACTTTTGATGAAGGCTATGTAAATTGTAGATATTCTCTTATCAGTTGCCTTTCTTAGAACGACATACAAATATACCAAAAACTGTATTTTAAAATGGTGGTGTCCCAAAAAAACTGTCATACGTTTGAAACATATTTTTGGGCGATTTTTATTCAGTTTGAATGATGTAACCCCCCTAAGACATTCCGATAACTAAGTTAAAATGTAGTTTTATTCCGAAAAGCGAAGAACCTGTTGGCTGTGAACTTCCACTTCAAAACAGGGCCACTAATGAAGCAAGAAAACTAGATCAAGACCCAGTCCGAGTTTTTCGGGCCAGGTTAAGACCTGATCTCTCTCCGCCGCTACCCATATTTTTCACGTGTTTGTCTTGTGGTCATTAACGCTGACACTCGCATTGCAACAGACCCAACAGCACACAAAAAAAAAAAAGAAGACTTAAGATGCTAACCCACCGACCTGGCCTGACCCTGCCTCATTTTAGTCGGTTTTATGGCCGGCTTTGCTTTTGACCCGCTGTCGAATGACTCTCTTTTCCTCCGCTTTTCCGAGGCTGCTCATTGAACAGGTGCCTGCATTTTCCCCGAGGTGATGGAGATCTGGTAAGGGAAATAAAACACGAGTCACATAAATCTGGTCACCAAACGCCGCTGGCTGTAAATCTTTTGACATTGCCCGAGTCCATAAAACAGCCCTAATGATCTAGCCGGAATTTTGATTTCGTAGAGAAGCCAGTGCAGTGAAGTGAAGTGGGCGGTGGAACTTGGAAAACGGAGCTATTTGATTTTTTTATATATATTTTCGGTCTGCTCGGATTCTGGAGCGAGTTTGTTTTTATGGCACTTGCCACTTAGCTTATCAATTAGCGGGGAAGTCGGGGGAAATGGGGTGCCAAGGGGGCTTAGGATGGGGATTGATCCCCTCAATTATCGTGAAGTCGAACAAATGAGAATACTCTGAAAAAAAAACTGCTAAAAATAGTTTAATTTAGATTTAAGTCTTGCATAAGCATTCCCATTCTAAAAACATATTTATAAAAATATATACATATATAAAAATAAAATTTATCTGAAGTTTCAGTGGACTTCTCTTGCCCACTGTATGTACATATATCAATTTTGAATTAAAGAAAAAAGCTCTTAGGATTGATTTTTATATAAATTTAAGAGTACAGAGTGCTTCCTTTCAGCTATAAAATTAATAATTATTTAATAAATTCATCATATTTATCACATAAATATTTTAGGTACATATATACCTTTGTCAAAAAAATTTCCTCTTTATTTTGAAAAACTAAGACTTAATAAATGACTATGAAAATATTTGTTCTCGGTGTAAAGACTGCTCCACTTGCTGGACCGCATGCAATTAAAATCCAATGACGCTGAACTTCTAGTTTTAACTTTTGGTGGTGGATCTGTATCTGGATCTAGAAAGTATAGTGCATGTGGGGTGGGGGTGATGCAGTGCACTGGCGACGACTGGTTAGAATGCATTTAATTAAATTTGAGCATTAATTGCCGCTTTAAGGCGTCGCGCGTGTCGCCTCAATTGCCGGGGTCTCGAAAACCCTTTCAAGTGGCTATTACAAACCCCCTCTCAGGCCAACCCCTCTGCAATCCATTCAATCCATCCAATCCATCCATCCATCTATATATGCACCCCCAACCATCACCCGCAGCTGGAGAGTCTCTTGTGAGAATTTGATTGTTTGATGGAATAAAAAACGAAGAAAGGCCTTTGGAAGGGGATCTCTTCATGTCTTGACTCTAATAGAAAAATTCAATTATTATTTAACCATAAAGAAAGCAGATATGGGGGGTATAAAAAGAGTAAATGAGCCCTTTTTTTTATTGAAGAAAATATGAAAAATTTTGTAATTAAAATATAACTAAGCCTCTCAAGGAACATGTATCTAATGCTGATTTAAAGCTTTGTTTCATTATGAGTAAGTTAGTTTTGTTTGTACTAATTTATCGCGAACCTTCTCTTTGCAAGATAGGTAAAGTTCCTTGTGATGAGTAACGAATAAATATGAATTGAGTACTTTGTAGTTCTTCATTAAATTTTGTATTCAATGTGCTCTTTCTGGAAAACAATTCAACCAATATTCATACAATGTTTTAAGAATCTATCGGAGCAAAAAGAAATCTGGTTTATATATATATTAAAAACAGGCTGAGGTTTTTAATTTTTAATTTCAACTTTAAATGAGCTTAAAATATCTATAGTTGTCTTTTCCACTTGCACACTCTTCGATTTTTATTTCTATAAAAATTGGCTTAACTTCAGACTTATTTTCGTTGCCCCGTTCCACAGAAGTTACTCCCCGAATTGCATTTGCCACAATTTTGAGTACATACTTTGTTGTCTGACTTGGGAGCCCCTTTTTGGTCCAGCTGTGTTTGCCTTCTTTT